GTGGGACACACCGGTGCCGTTTCCCAAACAGACAAGAAGCTTCTCTGAGATCTCCACTGATGTTTTTGTATCATGGATCTGATTAAACAGAATATATGATGTCTTTCTGCGTGAGCAGGTGCAACACGGTGCTGAGTCCCCCTGTCTGAGAATAAACTTCACACTGGATTTTATTGGTGTGTTTTTCCCCCCTATTCGTGGGAAAAGCATATAGGGATGAAGCTGGGAGCGCCAGGTGAATGAGGGGGCTGTTCACCAGGCTTTGAAGTACACCTATTCCCTGCCCCGCTCCTGCTGGTCAATGGGGATGCAGGCAATCATGACGCAGTTTCACAGCGCAGTGTTAATGTGGAGGGGAGGGGGCATTCAGTCAAAGAGCGCACGGCTACATAAATATCATCACCGTGGAGGGGAGGGGGTCAGGTCCGGTCAGCGGCCGTCCTCCTGCACATCTGGAACACAGCAAACGGGAATCCGCTCAGACCGCTGCCGCAATGGGACMCCTGACCGTCCTCCCAGTCGTGGCCGTGTCCGCCTTCATCCACCTCCAGCTGGCATCGGCTTGGTMCGTCGTTTTCAAATGAATGTGTCAACTTTCTAAGTGTGTCTTCAAGCGTAATTCCCTGCTTTTTCTCTCTCAACAGGACGGTGAATAATTTCCTCATGACTGGCCCGAAGGTAACGAAAGCTGTTTGTGGGAATGGGTCGTGCGTAAAAATTTGTATTTCTAACGCTGGTGATTTACGTTCTTGAACGTAAAATAATCATAAATTGTTGTTTTTGTTCATAAATGCGCGTAATAAAAATTGCCTTCTGTTCTTCTCTCMAGGCTTTACTGGGTTATGTCAGCAGCGTGCAGGCAGGCGCACAGACCGGAATAAAAGAGTGCAAACACCAGTTCGCTTTGGAGAGATGGAACTGTCCAGAGAGCGCGCTCCAGTTGTCAACACACAACGGCCTTCGAAGTGGTAAGATTTATTAKTTTCCAAATCCACACTGACTTAAAAGCATACTGGAGAAACTACGTCAATTGTGGTGACGTGTTCATAACTGTATATCCGTTTTGTGCGTAATAGCTGTTTGAGGCATTACGCATATGCGCCAAACTGAGCTGTTTTGTTTGTTTGTTTGTTTGTTTGTTTGTTTGTTTGTTTGTTTGTTTGTTTGTTTGTTTAGCCACAAGGGAGACGTCATTTGTCCACGCCATCAGCGCAGCCGGAGTGATGTACACGCTCACCAAGAACTGCAGTTTGGGAGACTTTGACAGCTGCGGCTGCGATGAGTCCAGGATTGGTCAAACAGGTGCGCAACTTCTGAACCAAACTGATAAGACTTTTGAAAAAAAAAAACTCCTTTATTTGTATAGAAAATCTCTCGAGACTCATAGTCACATTTACGACAGAGAACTGTTACATACATAACAACAAACAGCAAAAAAACAACAATAATAATACAATCTACTTCACACTTTTAAAACTCAATACCACACTTGTACAGAAACATGTCAGATTATTATTA